AATGCGGATCCTTTTGAGTTCAAGTGTAACAGGCCGCCATTAATCAAATTACTTTAATCTTCACCTAAAATTACTTTAATCTTTATAAATATCGTTGCGATGTACCCTACCATCATAATATTTAAAGGCCCGTTCACACTTGCAATATTTGCTGCGATTTCTACTGCCATTTTCTTCTTCTGATGGATGTGAACGAGTAGATGAGTTATGAATGATCTGAGTTTATGTACCTTCATCTGAACATTCATAACTCATCTACTCGTTCACATACGTCAGAAGAAGAAAATCGAACAAAAAAGTGTAAACGACCCTTAAAACGTAGTCGAAAGGTAGAACTATATTAAAATGTTCCTTTTCAGAGTTACGGCTGATTTATAATTATTTAGTCATGCATCGATTGCCTTAAACAAGTTGATAATTTCAACATATAGCAGACTTTTGCACTAACGCTCTGTTTCGTTTAGTTTAAAAAAAGGTTGATTGTTTAATCAACTGACAACAAAATTAAAAAAAAAACACAAGTCAGTTCCAGGTAAAAATTGACATGTTATAGAGATAAGGATCAGTGACACCTGGATAGTTATAGGCGCGATGCGCCCTGCGCGCAACCTTGCTATTTACTTACCTTTCGATATTGTTCTTCGCTGTTAATTAAATACTTTTTTCCTTCCTAATATAGTCAAGCTGTTTATGATGAGCAAGTACCAATAAATCTGATGTATATCAATAAACTTGTACATTAAGTTCGCTGTGGCGATAAAAGCCACATGTAATACATGAATGTACTACCCGCAATGACGTCGTCGCGCTTTTACAGTTGCACTGCATGACGCTTCTTCTGCCAAGGAACCTGTATGCCAAGGTTCCTTGCCGAGCATATATATCAATCTGACATTTTTTTTTATTTTGACTAAAACAAAAGTTGTTTGCGCCTTGTGATCAGTGCTTCGGTCTGGGTATTCATTCTTCCATTGTATGCTTTGCCTAGCTACAACAAGTTTAGCGCTTAGACACCTTTTCCCCACCCACACACACATGTTCATTCTAAAGGATTTTATCTGGTAGTATATGTCATTTTATTTTATATAATTTTTAATCTCACATAAAATAGGTTGTATAGACCTCTATACATTGTATTTCGCAGGTATGCCTTGGCAGAATTGTCATGGCTATCTCCTTATGCTGCTAATATTACTGATTGTTCTCAATGTTGCTGCGCAGCTGCTATGGCAATACTTTATTCCATCAAATATTCAAATCTAGTTCCAAACAGCAATACTCTGTCGTTAAACATGGTTACAATCGCCCAGACCAACTGGAAACCTCTTTTAATTATGATTTTCTGCTAATATATATTTTTGGTCGACGTTAATATCTTGTCAGTTCCATATTCTTATTTAATAATTAACACTATAAATCCTGGGTATCCCCATTTGACGAGTAAAATTGAAAATTGAGGGGGGGGGGTCAAGGAAACATATTCAAATATGCAGGGGGGTCATCATTAAATTTCTGCTCTTTTAAGGGGGGGTTCAATTTTAAAAATTTAGGAAAGAAAAAATTCCCCTCCCCTCCTCTTCCATAAATAATGACCAGTCCCTTACTTTTGTCAAGAGATTCAACATATATGTCTTTTCAACATGAATAGTGCAGGTGAATTATTCAGACTTCGGGCATGACAATTCTACTGCGAAACACGAAAATTTGACGATTTTTATCCCTAATTGAAAAAGTGCTGGACGAAACGGGAAGAACGTCTCACAGCTCAATTCAGCATTATTCATTCTATAAATTCAATTCAATCGAATATCTAAAGGATATACATCGCATAATAGATACATTGATTACCGATAACCTAATGATTTACTATGGCCCTCTAAAGATAATGATAACAAAAACAAAATATAAAAAAATAAATAGAGATAATACATGGGTGCTTGGAAATACCAAATTTATTTCTCGTCAGTGAACATGATATCTCCCGAGTGAGATATCATGTTCAACACGAGAAATAAGTCTGGTATTTCCAACCACCCATGTAGTTTTCTGTTTATTATATAAAGGACAGTCTTTGAAAAGAGATAATTTTTATAGAAAAGCGATAATTTTTATAGAAAAGCAATTATAATTTTCACATGTGAAATTATCATAAATAATCTCACCTGTGACATTCAGTATCAGTTTTATCAGTGCTCGAAATCTCTTTCAAACACTCATTAATAATTCATAAGCTTATTGGCAAATCATGTCAACCATAATATGTCACGTGCAGTGGCTTTTAAGCTGATAAACACTCCTAATTAGTATTCTTTATATAAAGAATACTAATAAGGCAGTATATTTATTGAATTTGTAGTCGTGTTTGAAGCCGTTTAATAAACTCGCAGGTCGTGTTTTATTAGGTCTAAAGCCACTCGGGCTGCGCGCTCTTGTCTTTAAACCTAATAAAACACTCCTGCTCGTTTATTAAACAGTACATAAAGCACTATACTTTATATAATAAATTATAAGTAGAAAATACATGCATGCAGAAACCCTCGCCTTGCTGACAAAACCATTGTATTTTCCGAACATGAAGTATCTTAAGTAGTTGTCATGGTAACACGATAATTTTTTAAGAATATTCTTACAAATGAAAAATCGCCTAAAAATATCACTTTTAATTACAAAATTATCAATTTCCCAACGTATATATGTTAGATATGTTATTATACGTACTGTAAGCTTCAATTTAAGGTAAAATTCAACCACAAATGCATAGCAAAACGTTTTAAAGTGTTCTTTATAAAACTAAACTGCCCTTAAATAATCGGCAGGTACAAAACGCAGGTTGCAGGTTGCAGGTTGGAATTTTGCAGGTTGCGAATTTTGCAGGTTGGAATTTTGCAGGTTGGAGATTTTGCAGGTTGGAATTTTGCAAGTTGCCAGGAACTTTGCAGGTTGATAATGCAAACTTAAAATTACACCACTTTTTTAGTATTCTAGTATAATTTAGTTGTGCATTTGTTGCAGTCTGACTCCTTGTCGGCGCCTCTGCTCTAAGGCTAGTGGCCATCACCCCCGTGAAAGCATTCAAAATGACCAGATTGGCTTGGACCTACAGGGAGACGAATGCAGGGGCGTAGGAACCGGGGGGGGGGCAGGCCCCCCAAGTTTTGCCAAGTGCCCTTTTTCCGGGAGCAAAGTGCCCTTTTTTTACGTTAAAAAAAATGTTTTAAGGATTGCCTTTTTTTGCCGAAAGCGCACTTTTCGAAACTTGAATTTATGTTATTTTCCGGAATATTTTTTCATTTCCGGAAAAAATATGATGTCTGAAAATTTTTTTTTGGTATTTCAGGAAATTTTTTTTCATATTTAGGAAAATTGGATATATCCGTAAAAAAATTTTTTGTATGTCCGGAACCCTGCCCCCCCAACTTTTAGAAGCTTCCTACGCCCCTGGACGAATGTTTTGATTGTTGCGAGGTGCCTACATGATGTGGCGGCGTTTATACTAGAATATTGTTAAAAGTTAACTGTAAGATACGGTAATTGGGGGCTTGAGTGGTCTCATAAGTGGGTGCAGAGGAGAGACACCTCATTCAGGCATTTTCTGAACTGCCACCACGTCATGTAGGCTCCTCGCAACAATCGAAACATTTGTCCCCCTGAAGATCCAAGCCAATCTGGTCATTTTGAATGTTTTCACAAGGGTGATGAGCAGAGGCTAAAAACATGGTAGCAGGATAGGCTGATATCAAAAGCGGCGACAAGGAGTCAGACTGCAATAAGTACACAATAAAATTATACTAGAATACTTTATAGTAGTGTAATTTTCAGTTTGCATCATCAACCTGCAGAATTCCTGTCAACCTGCAAAATACCAACCTGCAAAATTCCCAACCTGCAAAATTCCAACCTGCAAAATTCCCAACCTGCAATATTCCTACCTGCAAAATTACCAACCTGCAAAATTCCAACCTGCAACCTGCGTTTTGTACCTGCCGCTTAAATAATTAAATGGCTTTATCGATAAACTTTGAGTTTGCAATAAAATGATTTCAAATTCTCGCATGTAAATAACTTTGCTTTCAATTTATTTAAAAAAATCAATATAATAAAAAAGGGAGTCAGTATTAAAGATACACTGAAATTATATGCAGTCTTGTTTAGTTGTTTCATATACGCAAAGGCCCTCGGGTTTTAAAGCAATTATAAAATCAATATTTAAAACAAACTTACCTTCGTTAACGTCGGCTCCCTTCTTTTAGCCGATTCTTTCGCCCTTTCTTTCTGAGAAAGCTTTTGAAATTTACAAAATCTTGCAAAAATGCGAGCAAAAATGAAATATATTTGCAAGAAATTTATCAATCATATAATCAAGAAATGTTTGCTATTTCGCTGTCGTCATGCAGTCGTTATAATGCAAACTTTAAGTTGGACCAATCAGTGTCCACTATTCATGACAATCCGCCATATTTTTGAGATCAGTGAGTATGACCACCCATCGTTGGCGACCCACGCCCGCGATTATTGATGAACTTTAGACTTCGCTAATGCTTTCGTTTCCCCGGGTGTAAATAGCCGGGGGGAATTAGTACCCTCGCACGGCGCTTCGCGCCGTCGGCTCGGGGATAATTCTTGTATTAACAAATTCGTTAAACTTTATAATACTATACTGCATTGTTGGTTGCGAGTTTATGTTTTTTTACAATAAAATCAACCTTGTCCACAAACAAATTGAACCGATTTGAAAAGTTTGCATCCTGCCGTTCTTTTATAGGAATGCAATTGACCACTTGCGTAATAGACTAAATTTTGAAGAAAATTTCAAAGATCAGAACAGCAATGAGGTACAGTGCGTTTTAGAAATATATCGATTAGAGATTGCATGCTAACAGCATCGACGAATTCATTCAAGATCCATCATTTCCTGCCAGGCATTCCACGATATTATTCGGTTGGTCTGTCAGACGCTTCAGCTAACACGATTATTTCACTTTTTAATTTGTACACAATGGCAAAAATTCAGAAGATTATTCTTTTAATTATAAAATTCTCAATTTCCGGATTAAATTATGTAGGCATGTTATGCAAGTTCTAACAATATATTCCAAGCACAATTTTTGAGTTTCAGATGAACTCTCAACCCTAGAACAGAACTCACTGGCAGAAGACAAAGCAATGTTCTCCCATAATCACTTCACAACAGGAGAGTCGAGAGCACTAATTACAAATAGGTTAATGAACGTTCTGTAGGTATACAGTACTTATTAATGTATCATTGACATTGATCTTGTTGATTTCACCTCTGAAAGATAAATCAGCAACTTCAACAACATGAATTAAGACTTTAGTCGTCACATGGGCATACAATTAAAGCTCACCTCTGGTTCGAGCAAAAATTAAAGTATTTGTCGCTTCAGTTGACTTCATGACTTGCAATAAGGCTTGAATTTCATGGTTGGACTGGCTTTTCTTTGTTCGGTTTTTGTCACAATACGCGTCGTTCGGTTTTTGTCACAAGCTTTACTCGCAATATATCCAGCAATGTAGGACAATGGTCTGTCATTCAGTAGAGATAAACTTCACAGATATTCCTTAATTTAATTTCAGAAGAAATTTAAACTATACTAGGTTCTCATTATGTCGATTAAAGTTTGTTAAACATTTAAATACAAATTTGATATATGCAGGTATATACCTATAGTTGCATGTTTTTAATTTAAATTATTTTTTTAATGAATCTGTATTAACAATTTCAAGACTGTTCTCCGTCCTTGAATACTTGCATGACTTGTAAATAGGGTACCCGGACATTTTGCCGAAAGACACTTTGCCGAAAGACATTTTGCCGAAACCATTTTGCCGAACGGACATTTTGCCGACGGACGTTTTGCCGAACGGACGTTTCGCCTAACGGACATTTTGCGGAACGGACATTTTGCCGAAAGGACAACTTGCCGAAATTGGAGATGCTATTTCGTCAAAATGTTTCGGACTGTGCCTCATTTCTCAACTTTGTAATTCTCAACCATTGTGCAAAATAACCATTATATGCATGGTCGTTGAATTAGCAGTGCATGATGGGTCGTTTGCAGTACATAACAATATTGACTATTGGTAGCTTTTTTGTGCAGCGGATGACTCATTGGTTAGGAACGTGTTTTGACGTCAGGTCGTAAACAACAAGCGTATACAAAGACAACGACGTAAGCAAATTTCACTTCGAGAATCATAGAATACATTCACATGCGGGGAAATCGCATTCATCAATGATATTGAATGATGTTATTCTTTATATCGCGAAATTTCGGTAAACCTGTCAAAAACTTGAAAGAATATAAAACGAAACTATATACTTCACTATCAAAGTTTCTGCCACCAAAATCGACAATGACTTTACTCACAGCTGGAAATTTTAACCGTGTAAGCGAACCTATAAAGTTCAGAATATATCTCTATTTTCGGCAAACTGTCCGTTCGGCAACATGTCCGTTCGGCAAAACGTCCGTCGGCAAAAGGTGCGTTCGGCAAAACGTCCGTCGGCAAAATGTCCGTCCTACCTTTTCCGTAAGGTACAAAAACTTAACTATAATATTAACTTACATCTTGGGTCGGTTGTTCAAAAGCCGGTTACCTTAACCCTGGGTTACGTGAAATTCAAAGCATACTGGCCAGCAGCTTGTTTATAAACTTGGAAATATTTTTTCAGAAATCTTGTCTGGATCATCAGAAGTTTCATTTTCTAACGTTTTGAAATATACAGACGTAGAGATAAATACGTAAACCAAAGCAATTAAGCAATGGGTTAAATTTAACGCAGGGTTAGCGCAAATCGTGCTTCGAACAACCGAGCCCTCATCTAACAATAATAAACAAATAAAAATGACGACAACAAATTAATCCCATGCCTACTTTCCTGGTATAGATGACAGGCCATTGTTCCAAGTTACCTTTCTTTGTACAATATAAAATTACACTTTTTCTTTTTCGTTTTCTTTTTGTGTAAAAAAACTTGGGGCCAGTAATATTGGCTTTGCTTTTCTTCCTGTCGAGGTTTCTGCATTACCTTTCATCGATGTCCTATCATTCTTTGAAAGATCATTTGCGTTTGGTATTGTTGTCGTTGAAGTGTCTTTCTCTTCATGCTTGACTGTTTCTTGGGTATTCGTTGGTTCCTGGGTTTCTTGGGCCTTGGTTGGTTCCTGGGTTTGGGTCTTGATTGGTTCCTGGGTTTCAGGTTTCGTTGGTTCCTGGGTTTGGGGTTTCTTTGGTTCCTGGGTTTGGGGTTTCTTTGGTTCCTGGGTTTCGAATTTCTTTGGTTCCTGGGTGTCTGTGTCTTTAGATGTTTTAGTTGGCGAGGTATTTATTACCTCCTTTATCTTGAGCGACACCTAGACCAAGATCAATTTTTAACGGTGTGAACACAATGTGTTCAATTGTGTTCAATTCGTCGGAATTGGACGAATCTAAGGCCCCAGTTACACGATACCGGATTCGCATCGTAGCGACATCAAATTTTACTGCTTCGAGGTGAATTTGGCACTTTAAAATTATGATAATATAACATATTTAAACAAAAACTTCAAAATTAATATGAAAAGTTATAAGTGAAGACAAGACTGGAAAACACCTTAAATTGATGTCGCTCCGATACGAATCCGGTATCGTGTAACTGGGCCCTTAAACTACACTCATCGGGTGCCCCCCCCCCAAAAAAAAAAAAAACTGCGGACGTTTGACCGCAGTGTTCCTTATACCCAATTGTACTGTAGGCGAAACTATTCTCGTGTCCAGGACCTGCAGCGCGGCGTTGACCGAGCGTGAGACGGGCTCTGGGTACGAGAACGGAGCATGAAGATTCTACCAGATGCACTATCCATCCATAGTATTGCGATCAGTGTACAAACCTGAAGTGGTATGAAGAGATTTTTTTTGTGAACCCTCGAAGAATCTGTCTTGGTCTTGTTTGTACTTTCCGCACATGACGAAGGTTTGCTTGACTCAGACGTCTTGACTTGGGAACCTGGGGTTGCTTTGGAGGTACCCTCTTTTTTCTTGGAGGTGTCATGACGTAAAGAGGAGTTGCTGTGATGTGGGTGGTGTGTGGGTGAGAAGGATGGTGGGAATGCGGAAGGAGAAATCATGCCGTTATTTAATTTGCACAGCAAAAGCGTGAGGAAAGAACGCCTGCAGGAAAAGAAAAATATGCCATATAAAAAGAAGAGTTTAACGCCTGTATTCTAAAAGCTCACTCAATCAATCAATCAATCAATGAAGCTTTATTAAAAAATACATAAATAGGTAACATGGTGTCCTTTCACTAAAGTGCTCTTCCAAGGAGCCATGTAAAAATACAAAAACAAAAGAAATTAGTTAAATATATATACAATCCTATCATATTTACAACTACTTAATCTTAGTATTAAATTTGAAAGTTAGAAAGTTTATTTTTGAAAAGATATATTGAAGCCTGACTTCTTATTTCATCCAGAAGATCGTTCCATAACACAGCCCCACGGTACCCGAAGCTCCTTTTACCAGCCTCCGTTCTGGGTCTAGGGGTGAACATACTGTGCGAACTACCTCTAAGATTGTGAGAGTGGACTTGCGAGGTAGGTTCAAAAATAGTATTAAGCTCGTTGGGATATAAATTATTCACTGCTTTATAAATACTTGTTGCGAGCTGTTTAGCACGACGTTGGTCAAGAGTTTCCCAACCAACACTCAATGAGTTGAGGTTCAATCTGAGCTTCTCTTGTGTGTCAATGCTGTTTTTGGATAGCTGGAGGGTGAGTAGACACATAGTAAGGTACGACACTAACCCTCCAGCTATTCAAAAACAGCATTGACACACAAGAGAAGCTCAGACTGAACCTCCACTCACTAAGTGTGAGTGTGAGAAAGCTTTTATAGAATACGGGCGTAAGTTTGGTTCACACTAGCAAATTTGTAGGCGATTTTTCTGACATGATGACATGCAAAAGAATTGTTTACTTCTGAAAAGCGACTCTATACTTTTGTGTGCGAGTTCACTCATTTGCATCCGTCCGAAACACCGACAAAATTGCTAGTGTGAACCCGGCTTTAAGCCAGGTTTCCATATGGTCGTAACGGTCGTAAAGATAGAGATATTGTTCTAGTTTACAGAAACATTTGTAGATAATTCTAAAGCTTAGTTACCTTTGTTGTATTTTATGGCTCTGTATTCTGGAACAATAGTAACTAGACATATGAGTTTTGTAAAATTGTGAATTGGATTTAAACAAACGTTAGCCAGCTTTGTCTAAAGACTGGTTTCCACTGTTGCGCTTTTCGTACGCACGTACACACACGTAAAACTTTGAATCGTTTTATTTTTTAAATATTTTACAATTAAGTTAACAAATGCATACTAAAACAGCCTTAAAGGCTGTTTTTCACTGTTGCGTTTTTCATACGTACGTATACGCACGTAAAACTTTAAATCCGTTTAAATGTTACTTATGAAATAACCAAATAAATAAAGCGACAGAATTTAGCGTTCCGCATGTTTTAGTATGCATTTGTTAACTTATTTGTAAAATATTTAAAAAATAGAACGATTCAAAGTTTTACGTGCGCGTACGTGCGTACGAAAAACGCAACAGTAGAAATCAGCCTTAATGGTAGAGTCAAACTGGAAGCATTCGTCTCATGTGAGATTGACGTTGCAGTTAAAAACAAAGGTCTTGATACCGTCAAAGCAGCTTGTGCGGCACTTTCAGTAGCCTCTTCAATTGTCAATCGTAATCCCTGAAACACCTTTCCAGCCACACATACTGTGGTGATAAAATGCTGCAAGAACAAATTTGGATCAGTATTATATAAAGTCGTGTACTGGGGTTGAAATGAGCGGGCACCAGGTTACCATTCTGATGGTGGTTACCATGGTTACCATGGCGACCCGACATTTGGCAAAGGTAGCCCTCCTCAATGCAGATTGTATGTAATTGGAGATAAGAGAGTGTCTAATATGTGTCATGCTATGTCAGTACCTGTCCTGTGCGGTGATGACTAAATGTAGGTTGTGGCCAACGATTTTGAAGACATGCTATGGCCAACAATCCAGATGGATTACTAAAATATAAATAAAACCGCAAGAGATAAGCGGGTAATCTGGTGTGGTATAGAGGGTACCACCATCATCACTACATTCATCACTACGACAATCATTATCACTACAATCACCATCATTATCAGTACCATCACCACCACTACAACCATCACCCTCATCACCACCAATATAGATCTAGAGCTTCAGATTTGACTTCCACTACCGTTAATGGACCATCAGCCAAACAGATGCGTTTGATATATTCGATTAAGCCAGTTAGAGGTAGTGGAAGTCAAATCTGAATCTCTATGGTACCACGCTCACTATCACCATCATTATTACCATCATCACTACCATCGTTATCACCATCACCCCCCCAACATAATTTTCACATAATCACCTTGGAGATATAGGAGAGGTTGGTGACAAGGCAGGCATCTGAAAAGCATTACCTGAAAAAGAAGAACGTTAATGGATGATTCCAGCTACAGACTAAATTTTGATCCAGACAAGAAGAACAAAATTCATCACCACAGCTAGAAGAGCATGTTAAAGAGTCCTGGTCAACCACAATGCAATGCGTGCGTTTGTTTACGTTTCTGTTACATTGTGGGCCAGAGGCAGCCATTTTTGTGGCCTCGAAAATGGCGGCAACAATTGAGAAAAGTAACAGGAAAACATAAACAAAAGCGCGCATTGCATTGTGGTTGACCAGGACTCTTTAGAATTAGTAAAATTCCAAAGTTTGGCCGCGAAATGTTGCAAGATGCGGAAAATATACCCTGCGAAATTTGCAAATTTTGTATTAATTTGTATTACGTGCGGGAAAATACACCACATTTGGGCCATCTATTCATTATTTCGAAACCAAATATATTTATATCCAAAACTTAGTTTTAGTTAGTTTATTAATGAATTTGTCACATTTACATAGAAAAATTTACAATTACAACTGACACTAGAACAATAAAAACTAACAAAATAATTAGTACTTGTGACAGGAGTCTGAAACAGAACTTGCGTCCCAATTGATATCAAACCGCTTGAACACAAATGTGAACTATACTGAACACAATGTGACTATAGGTTTTACCAGGTGCATTAAACGTGGCGTGAGGTGAATTGAAATTTGGGTTTGATCCAGGTGAACCATCTAAGTGAAGTAGCTGGTGAATAACACGTTCACTTTCCTGAAAGTAAGAATGACACGTGAAAAACAATCATCAAAAAACACAAACGATATTAAATTCGAATATATTTACCAGAGCAGCCAATTGTTCGCTAGTGTTCATCGCCTGCCTAGAATCTGTCAAAAAATCCTGATCAGTCAAACAGAGGGACGCTAATGATGGAAATTAAATTTTATAAAAAAACTCACCAATAATTCATGAGGAAAGGACAAAGGAAATCACTACCGTGTCGGTGGTTTTACGTGTGATAAATTTACATAAACTTTAGCTTTGATTTCCTCGGCTTGAACAACGTTGATTTTTAAAATTACTTCGTCAATGAACTCATAAGATGAATAAAGCCATTTAAAACACTCGCAGTCCGTGCTATACCAGATATAAGACACTCGTCTGACGCCTCGTGTTTTATATTTGATAGAGCACTCCTGCTCATGTTTTAAGTAGTACTTTAACCACGATATTTTAAGTCTTTCTGTCAGAGTACCTACCAGGTGAGTGGCGTGGAGGTGTATAAAAACGACTTGAATCTCGTGGAGAAACCTGAAACATACACAACGTGAGAATGGCGTATAGTATGAATGAATGAATGAATAACTTTATTTATTGTCGATTTCAAGTCACTTTTCAACGCGCGGGTCCCAAGTTCGTTGCGAACTTGGCAATTACGTTTCCAAGTTCGAAAAATGGGCGCGAACTTCGCAACAAAGTTCGCAAGTACATTTCAATGTTTGAACTTCGTTTGTAAACAAATGTTCATACTCAATAATTGGAGAACGAGTTCGGGCAGACAAACAGACATTCGTTTCGCTGACTCGTCAAATTGATGCAGGCTTAAAACGTGGGTATAACGAAAATAAGATTGTAGATGCTGTTACTCGCGCGATTTCATTGCATAGCAGTTTAAAAAGCTATGTCGAAACTTTGAAAGATTTGTCCATGCCAAAGTAGCGAAAAATTATACGCGTTCACTACCGTGAAAAATCTGCGTCAGAACTTTATCAAACTCTTGCGACAATATTCCAGAGCCCAAAAGAAACACAACAGTTTCTCCTACGTTCCCTTGACTTGAGAAATAAAGGCTTATAAAGTGGGCTTTGCTAGTAAAGAGTCTGATTGTGAAGTTCAGTATGATGAACCGCTTATTCAGAAAACATTCATGAAGTCTTTCAAGACAGGGTTACGAGACGATATTTTGGCGGCAAATTTACGTCCCATTTTGCGGTTACCTAGTTTATCTGATGAGGGATTAATGAAAAATGTCAACGAATTGGCATCTCACCAAGCTGGGAGGCAGAGTAAACTTGCATGTGAAAGGCGTTCTGCCAAGGTTAACTCGTGGGAAGTGGACGGTGCGGAAATTAAAATGCGTAAAAATGGCGGAGATAATGATAAAATTTTGGCCGAGATTCGAGAGATCAAATCTGACCTTGATAGTTTGAAAAAACAAGGCAACAACGCTAATGCTAATCGGGAGGTATCGTTAGGCGGTCGGAAATTCCCGAGGGAAACACGATACCGTAGTAGAGGGTGTCTAGCGTGTAAAGAACGGAAAATTGGCGGCACGTTTCAACATTGTTTTGCATGTGGCGAGTTTGGCCATATTGCGTCAGAGGTCGCGAAAAATTTAAAGGCTCAGCGAAACGAGTACCGGCAACCCCGCCGTCGGGACAGGGTCCAGCCGGAAAATCAACATCCCGTCAGTGTAACTATTGTTTAAAGAACTTGAATAAAAACTTTTGGCGATGCAAATGTTGTAAACTGGAAAGCTATTGTAACCAGACTTGTCAGAGAGCTCATTGGCCTCATCATAAAACATTGTGTAATGCCAAGGGAAGTTAAGTGTACGACTCAAGTGTCACAAGATAATCACTCTGAGGTTTTCATGAGCCATCTCACTCCAAAGGAAAATGAAAAGTTGATTAGTCTCGTAGGTCGAAGATGTACGGTTACGGGGAAAATTAATGGGAAAACGGTAGAAGTTTTATCGGACACAAGAGCCCAAGTATCTATTGTTTCAGCCAAATTTTTACAAGAGAACTGTACTAATAAAGACGTGAGTGAACTGTTAAATTGTGACCTTACACTGATGGCAGCCAATGGTAACACTATCCCTTATACAGGATGGGTGGAGTTAAATTTTCAAGTTGGGGAATCTGAATACGCACTCCCTGTCCTATTCCTAGTAACGAATGAGAACGTAGAACTGCCTTTGGTAGGCTTTAACGTAATTGAACATTTAATAAAGACACATAAATTGAATTGTGGTGTTATTTTATCTAACTTTGTTGGTATGCAAGTCGCTCTTGCTTCCGCCCTGGTAGAACTGGTAAACACTGTTAACCATGATGAATTGTGTCCCGTTAAAACCCGTAAGAAAAACGTCATAATACCGCTAGGACAATCTGTGAAATTATCATGTAGAGCGAACACTGGTCCAAGTAAACCAACCCCTATTCTTTTTGAAGCTGACGAGAACAGTCAGTGGCCATCGGGCTTGGAAGTATCAGATACATTGCTTACGGTGAAGGGGGGCAAATCTAGTAGAGTTGAAAGTGAAGTACGCAATACGACAAGGCATGATATTCAGCTTAGGGTTCGTACAGTTCTTGGTCGCCTCCAAATTGTTCAGTCAGTAGTCCCGAAATTTTATCCGTAAGTCCAATTCACCATACAGCTCACCCGTAGTTTGTGTGAGGAAAAAAGACCAAATTTTAAGGCTGAACTGAACAGGAAAACACAGGTAGACCGTAACCCCATCACGAGAATTCAGGAAACGCTTGACAATCTTGGTGGGAGTTCTTGGTTCACCAAGGATTTCTGAAACCCGAAAGTCAACCCCTCACAGCATCCATCATACCTTGGGGATTGTACGAGTGGAACCGCATCCCATTTGGCCTTTCCAACGCCCCAGCCTCTTTTCAGCGTTTTATGGAGTCTTGTTTAGGTGACCTCCGAGATGAAATCTGTATTCCATATCTTGACGATATCATAGTTTTCAGTTCTAATTTTAACGACCATATTGAACACTTACGAAAAGTCTTTCAACGTCTTAAGGAACATGGTGTTAAATTAAAACCCCCCAAAATGCAATATGTTTAAGAGAGAAGTTGTTTTCCTGGGGAGAGTCGTCTCTGGAGAAGGGTATAAACTTGACCCATCAACTATTGCCCCAATTCTACGCCTGAAAGATACACCACCGAAGACCGTGGACGAAGTTCAAAAGTTAATGGGATTCTTGATCTACCACCGCCGGTATATTGCCAATTTTTCAAGAATTGCTAAGCCGATTTACGATCTCGTGAAGGTGTCGGATAATGACTCGAAGACCAAGCGTGGTAAACCAGTGGCTAACAATCCAGTCTCGTGGACATCAGCGCATCAATCGGTGTTGGAAGAACTTATTGGATGTCTGTGAGTGCTCCAGTCATGGCATATTCAGACCCTCGCAGGCCATATGTCCTTCACACGGATACATCAGAGAATGGACTAGGAGCAGTACTTTACCAAGAGCAGGATGATGTCTTACGTGTTATTGCTTACGGTTCACGAACCCTAACACCAGCAAAACTTAAATTATAGTACGTATACTGATCTATTAATTTAAAACTATGTTTTGTAGTCAGTATGTTTTAAGGTTTCATACCTTGAACTTGTCTTGTTTATATTCGGTATATTATGATTCAGGATTTAATTTCAGTATATTATGATTCAGTAGTCAATGATCGAAATTTTGGATTTTCAGAGTCGTGCACCAAGAAAAAAAGGCATTAATCAAACTAGCAAGAAAGCCTAGAGTTCGCCACAATGCAAAATACAAATAGAGAACAGGTAACTACAGCCGGCGTCAAACGCGCTAATCGGGTGTCACTCCTCAAGTGTGGGCCATTCAACATGGCGGCTGGTCTCAAAACATGACGTACTTCCGGCTTCACTTTTTATTTGGGCCTTCTATTACGATGCACTATCTAGTCTTAGTGTATATCAGTGAATTTAACTCATAAACGACTTCGGTAACCCCCAAATTTTATTTAAAAAAATTATTTTTCTTAGTATAATGAATTACTTTGACAATTTAAAAAGAAATATGCGGAGCCAAAATTTTTTAAATTACGTAAAGGTGATTATTCATAATAATATTTTTTTGCCTCCACAGATTTTTTTTTAAATTGTCATAATAATTCGTTGAATATACTAAGAGAAATAATTTTTTTAAATAAAACTTGGGGGTAACCGAAGTCGTTTATGACTTAAATTACTTGAAAACCAAAATATCCGCCATCTTGAAACGTCATTGTTACCATAGCAACGGCAGTTGCTTAACTTTTGTGCAAAAATTCAAACTCTTTAGATGTTGTTTTATATAAGTAATGTACTTTTTGTTTATCAACAAGTTTAATGATTGTTCAAAAATACGCATCTAAATCGTGAATTTTCCATTTTTTTAAAAAACTGTATTGAGCCACCTTAAAGTAGGCTGAGACAGACAATGAAACTGAATCTAAGTTCTTTGTAGTATACGTTTTGGCTTGTGGAAACACTAAGGCACACGTATAAAAAAATTATGTTGGATTAACAATTTTATCATTACTCCAAACTTTACGATAATTGTGTATTGTATTATTTATATGCTCACAACAACTGAAACATCCAGGGGCCGGTTGTATAAAAACGTCGTTAACTTTAGCTATGATTAGCGGTAATCACTGCCTTAACTATGATTACTTAAACTACACGACTTAATTGCGTTGCACAAAACGTAGTTTGTCGGATGATTAACTAATCACGTACTTAACTACGTTTTGAGAAGTTAACGATACCCTAAACCATCGTTAACTTTAACTACGTTTTAACTACAGTTAACGCTAACCACTTTTTATACAACCGAGTTAACTACGTGATTAAAGTTAACCACTATTTAACTACAAAATAGTGATTAAAAAAGTGATTAAGAGTTTTATACAACCGGACCCAGGCTGTTGCGGTGTATCGATAAATATCGGGGTTTTAAGAGTATCGCATATTCGGTATTATTATTATTATTATTATTATTAATGTTAAACACTCCCAGAAGGGTTTTTCAGTGTTCAATACAGAAGTTATAAAAAGTAATTACTTAATTAAATTATATTCTAAAAACTATATAATATACTATTAACACCGAAATATATAATATCAAGCTAGTTATATTTAAGGTAAAATACTTATTAATACTATTTAATTTAAAATTTAGTCAGTAAAAGATGTAATTCAGTTCTGTTCATCGAGAAATTGTTGAACCAAATAACTTCGTAGCCCGCTTTTAAAACGTTCCAAATTAAGATTATGGTCTTTTAGCCATTCTGGCAAACTGTTCCATAAACAAGAAGCTCGGTAGCGAAAAGAACGTTGTCCGGTCGCTGTTCTATATAAAGGTATTTCCAATAATTCGCTAGATCTTGTGTTCAAATTGTGTAATAGTGATCTTGTTTGGAACATACGACATAAATATGATGGGGCCATACCATTAACACATTTATAAGCCATTACTGTATCTAGGAATCGTAACATATAATTGACTGGTAACCAGTTAAGCTGTTTTAAAGATGGAGTGATATGGTCGAATTTTTTTGTGCCCGTGACAATACGTGCTGCGAAATTCTGAACTTTTTGCAATTTTGCAATGTTTTTCTTCGATGAATTAGACCATATGGTTGAACAGTAATAGAGTTTACTAAAAACCAACGCGTTTATTAAAATTGTATTTTTATTTCTTAGAAAGTTTCTTGTGTATCGAAATACGAGTATTGTTGGTATTATTTTTTCTGCGTCGCAATTTTTAAATACCGCAACAGCATAGAAAGATCCCTCCCATGCCATCAGAATTTTGTCAAATTTAGCGTAAACAGAACTAGACTTAGGAAATCTGTAATTTCATTTTGGTTATTTTAAAAAAAGCCTTAGCCTACTTTGGAGATATTTTCAAATTATCCTCATACCCAGTTTCGTCGATGTGCTTCTGTCCAATTGCACTCGGGCAAGGTCAACAGCCATCGAACGCTTTCCAACATGTAGGGTGGATAACTTTCCTTTCCGGTGATTCGTGGATGAACTTCAGCCAGTATTCTCCCAGTGACCCGAACGACGCGAATATTTCGTGGGCACATTTGCTCTCCGCGATTTCTCTTTTCGCAACAACGACTAGCTTTTCCCACCTTGTATGCGGCGTCACACTCCTCCAAAATCTCGTCTTCGACTTCCTTCCACTGGAGATCACGGATCTCCAGGTGCACGGTTTTCTTCGAGAGTTCCACGATTTTGAAGAGTGCCTCCTTCACTAGTGGCATGTTTGCAAAACGACAGAGGTTGTTCCCCGTTTCCACCCACGCATCGTACCACTTTCCTTTGGTGGCCGTTAGTGTGTAATCCCGCGAGCTTTGGCGTAGCTCGTCGGCTGTGGCTGGTCGTGTTGCGTAGATGCAGAGGTGCGTCCCTTCGGCGATGGTGGCATGGGGTCGCAGGAAAAGGCCACATCCTACACTACGGGTATTGTGCTGGGAGCCTTATAGCACAGGCTCTTGCAACGCAGAAAGGATTCGACCATGCGGAAATGGTACGTGGGATCCTGACCATCAGCGAGATGGCTTTCTTCGCCGACAACGGCACCCTCTTTCCACGCGATCTCTGGGTGTTCTGGTGGGTTTGTAATTTGGGCGCAAGCTTGGTAGTCGATTGGGAAGAGCCCAAATCGGTCCAGCGCAGGCGGAGGCCCCATGGACGGAATGGGTGGAGGAAAACTTCCTCGGACATATTGAACATCCCAAGCTCTCCGTCGCATCGATTCCCACATGGCTTTGTCGACAGCTCGGTTCATGCCTGCCACGTAGAACGACATGGTATATCCAGCTACTGCAAGTTTTACCGCTATATTTTCACAACACCTCGATCGTTCGCGATCGTGACGCAAAGATGGCTTTCTGTCGTCGTCCCTGTTACATTCCAGATACATCTATGAAGAAGGGAAGAGAAACAATTTATTTTACAACATTTCAAGAAATTGAATTTACATGAATTATTTTAATATTAATTTTAATACTATATAGGTTATGGTTTAGGTAAAAGACCATTATAAACACACATAAAACACAATACGCTGTATTAATTGCCCTAAATAAACAACATTATTAATTACTACATTATTTTACACAATTTCATGTAGCTAAATACCAGCTTGCATAAAAACATATTATTTACTGACAGAGTTAAGAATGGCGTAAAAATTTCGCAGATATGAATCGAAAACGCAAAGCAAGTACGCTATGGAATTTTAATACTGAAATGTTTATAACACTTATACCCAAGTCCCAAACATAGCCAATACAACGATTAAATTTATTTTTAAAAACACATCTGGTTCGTCTTCGACAAAATTCGTGTTTAAGCATGCCTTTCACACTCTGTTTTACTGTTGACAGACACTAATTCATGAAACTGCAGGCTTGTTTCCAGTTAAAAGCGAAATACACCGAAAAAATATGTTGTAAAAGAGCAAAATACAGCTTTATAAAATGAGAAACAATTTTTTTAGTGCGAGTTTGTACTCGCGCATGCGCATAATGTCGAAGACCGTCCATCACATAATGGAGGATAGACTTGGTTCAAGTCCGTTTCTCAAGGGGTTAAAAATAGCGACACACGCGAGCGGTCAAAAAAGGCGCGAAAATATGAGAGAAAAGTAGGGAGAGACGGACTTGGATACCCTGCAAGTGCGCCAAATTTTACCGTCGGATTTTTCCTACGGAGGCGTGGCTTGCGAGGTGAGGACAACAACAAATTTTCGCGCCAATTTTTGCAAGTAACATTCGATATGCTGTAAATGTCCCAAGTCCGTCTCTTCCATACTTTTCTCCTGAGACGGACTTGAACCAAGTCTAAATGGAGGACAACTTTGCACTTCGCTATGTTCCCAAACACCCGGGTGTAAATAGCCGGGCGGAATTAGTACCCTCGCTCCGTGCTTAACCCCGGAACGGCGCTTGGCGCCGTTGCCTCGGGGACAAGAAAATGTTGGAGACAATTGAAGTTTTAACTTACGAACCGTCGACTGACAAAGTTTTCCTGCTTTGTTATATACGACGCTAACAGCTTGAAAATTTCATTCAACTAGTTTAATTAGTCTTGTTGGAGGTCTTGAAAAAGGAGGAAAGCCATATTTTCCACCCGAACTCAATTTTTACTTTATGTTTGTTTTGTTTTGAAGCAATCTCTGACTGTTCTGTTCTCTCGAGAAATGCTTTAAGCAGCTGATTGGTTGATTTCTAAATCCCAATTGTTGATTTTCCACCAATCAGATCAGTTTCTTACAGATCTTTGCACTTTTGTTTCAGATGAACTGCACTGAAATCAACCAATCACAGGTCTAGTAACATTTTAAGTGCATCATTACATGCAGCAACATCACGGACAGTAATTACTGTAAATATCAGGAATGTGTAACTTACACATTCATATTCCTGATATCCAGTGTAACATAGGGTAACATTTTAGATGAACCACTTTATATATTATATATTGTATATTGTATATATTATATACCTCTTTCGCCTCGAACACCATCTGACGAACTGCACACGACTCCAGCCAATGTCCCTGGTGAGGACGTGACGCGTTGCCGTACTACCTTCGACCTATTTGTAGAGGTGGACCGCCATCTCTAGTGCCTCGTTGTCCAAGGTGTGCACCAATAATTTGCGTCTTGGGTCTGCGAGGGTAACCATGCAAATCTCTGTCACTTTCTCCCCGATGAATACCGTATATCGCAAGAATCCCCGTCGTAGGTTTTATCTATATCTTCACCAGACGTTCGGCTGGTAGCACAGGCTCGGTGGTCTTCCAGCATTTTGGCAAGCAATCTTACAGTTTTCTGCTGCGCAAGTACGGCACCATGTACTTGGTGGTGGAGCCCATTACTCCCGTTGGCGCGGCTGTTGAAAGGTTGGGTGGGGTCATTGGGGCCGTTGATTGCGCAAAGTGGTACGCATTTTCCAGCGACGAGGAACCGAAGCCGGCAAATTTTGATTTTAAGTTGAGCGCTTTCATTTCGTTGTCCACGCAATGCAGCGAGCAATCTGAAAACCTCGGAGGCGGTGCGTTGTAGTCGTTTTCCTTGAGTTGATCGTAAAATCTGGGGAAAATACAGATATATGATAATGAGCACACTGTCATTAAATCAGGGTTGGTAAGTTAGATGAATAATTAGGCCAAATCGTCATTAGTGCCGTTTAGAAAACAAAAGGCCAAGACAAAGAAAACAAAGGCCTAGTGTGACGGTGTTTGGCCTAATTATTCAGCAAACCTACAAACCTGCATTAAATGCTCATTTCTAAAGAATCCAACATCGTGAACATTCTCAGCATTCTGTATTACTGCTTTAAAAACCTCTTCGATATAGCTATATAAAACCGTGACTATCCAAAATTTGTTCCTGTTCCTAAATAAATTTTGTTTCGCTCTTAATTGATTTTTGTTTGGTTCCCAATTAATTTTTGTTTTGTTGTTCTAATTAATCTTCGTTTAGTTCCAAATTAATTTTCTTTTGTCCATAATTTTAATTATTGTTTTGTTGCTCCCAATGGAAGAAAAAAAATCCATCACCACAGCTAGAAAGAGCATGTTAATTAAAATTAGTAAAATTGCAAAGTTTGCTTGCAAAATGTTGTAAAATGCCGGAGGGAAATATAGCCCTACGAAATTTGCAAATTTTGTATTAATTTGTATTACGCACGCGAATTTGCACCACTTTCGGCCCAAATGTGGGGCATTTTCCCGTGCGTAATACAAATTAATACAAAATTTGCAAATTTCGCAGGGCTATATTTTCCGCATTTTACATCATTTCGCGGCCATACTTTGCAATTTTACTGCGGTAATAACATGCTCTTTCTAGCTGTGGTGATGGATTTTGTTCTTTTTGCCTAGATCCCAATTAATATACTCACGCATTGTAGCTCTCGTCGAACTGGATGCATGCAGTGCATTCGTCACACCCGCATTGTGCCAGCGGTTCTGCGTACAGACCGTACTGCATGTCGTTCAGGTCGTCTTGCAGCTGGTCCACAGCGTCGCTTCGATCCTGCGTTCTTCCACCGTCGTCGACGCGCCTGTCGTGCAGAGCACGCACCATGCATTCAATTGTATGCCGTGAACAGTTGGCAACGCCGTTGCCGAGTCCACGGCGTGGTGGCGCATCGTGTTCGTCGCTGCTGCTGCT